GGGGGTGGGGGGAAAGAGAGGAGGAACAGAAGTAAAGGGGAATAAAGAAGGTAGACTTATTCAATTCGTATCCTCCATTAAATAAAACGATTTTTATTCTGGATTTTATTCTTATTCTTAATCTCCATGTCCCATATACAACATATGCAAAGAATAAGAACAAACTCTGCTAAAACTGCCAGAGAAGAGAAAGGCAACATATACTTCCAACATGGAGTAACAGAAAAATGTATACCTATTTGCATATGCAAACAGAGGGAAGAAAACTCCCAGACAATGTCTAAGTCGAGTATCATCTTCTGTCACTGGATTATACCACAACAAGACAAGGCGAGAAAGAAGTCTGGCACCAATTAATCTCCCAGAGAACATCAGTTTGACTAGGCCTTCTGCAGCTTCTGTCCTGAGTTCTGAAAACTTAAAAGTGCAAAAAATACTGTCATATACAAAAATGTAGTATTTTGACTGACATACATGGGCAAGTAAGGCCCAAATCTTAAAACAAACTGCATGTGAATGCATCCTGGCATCATGCCTGCAAAATTTAGTGCAGCTTAAGATTCCAATCATTACCCTCAATGAAACATTATAATAGTACCCCCAGACAAAAGGTCATAACAATGAAGTAACTCCAAGTACATTGAATATACAAATCCATATTAACAGAATTCTAGAGTTTTCATATAATGAATTTATCTCCCTACAAAAATAAAATTAAAGATTACAGAAACTATAGAATAGTCTGATCTTATTTCATACAATATTTTACCTCACTGTCTAAGAAACTGGAAAGCAGTTGTAGAAGATTGTGAACTGTGTCTGTCTCTTCTTCAGCCTCTTTACATTTATTTTCTTCTTCCTCACAATCTCTACTTCTGATCTCTGCATCTTCACTTTCAGGATCACTAGTTTTTTTCACTTTGAATGGTTCTATTCCAAACAACATCAACTGGTCAAACACTGCTTTCAAAGCACTTAGCTTTACCGTGATATCATCAATTTGTAAAACCTGGATTGTTGGGGGAGGGCGGGGGGGAGAAGAGAGAGAGAGAGAAAGATGGAAGAATACTCAACTGCAGAGGTATTCAAGTTTCTTTTAATAAAGCAAAACTGACCCAAGCTTTACTTAACTGAGTTTTAGGGATTTAGTCATACAAATATATACAAAAATTGAAGAACTGCAACTTCATAATAGCACCAAAAAAAACCAACCACCCCAATCTAAATTTCAACTCCTAGTAATATCTAAAAGAAGGAACTATATCAGCTGACCCATTCAGTTCCCATTATACAATCAGCCCTGTTGGTCAGTACTCGTTTATGCAGTCGCAACCCATTTCTTGGCCCAAGAAAGTTTTTTACCTGTAGAAGTAATGCAAGGTGTTGATGGGCAAAGTCCTTGTCCTGCAATGCGCAACAACCCAAACACAGAACAGCCATATTTCTTACAGCTGGATGGACATTAGTTATTCCAGGCAGTATCTAACAACAACAATAGCTTTGGCATTAAAATTAACACGTAGTATTTTGTCCTAAACATTTGCAAACAAATACTTGGAAGATGCATGTTAAAAAGATATATAAAATGAAGTATACAAACGCACTTTTGACAAAGAGCCAGATTCTATTCTACCTGTTAGGTGCCTATATCACTTGCTCGTGTCTCTGAAAAAATACTTAAGGCATCAACTTCTGTAGAAGACTAAATCACAAAAAATGCAGTAACAAAATAGAAGACCCATGCATCACTTCCATTAATGGCTTTTCCTAGGTGGAGTAGGGTGGTATTTGGGTGCTCAAGAGGAAACCTACACACCACCTTCTATCGCATATACCACATTCACTTGCATTTATGCACTAGCAAGACAAAACTGAGTGCATGTTGTCTGATGATTTGCTTTTGGGGCCTACATTATTTAAGTAGGTAGCTTTTACTTCTCACACACACCAAAGACACTGACATATATCATTGCAGAAAAGAGTGGGAAACTGCCTATTAACAGCTGAGTCCAATAGGCATTAATCACATATTAGATCTGCGTGCATGTGTGCAGCCGCAGCATGCACACAGCCAGGAATGCAGCCCAGTAGCATAGAGAGCAGTGTCTAGCTGGTAAGTCGGGCAGGCAGACTGAGGCCCCCATTTTGAGGGAGAGAGGGAGGGAGTGGGGCAGGGGCTGCCCATCTAGGGCAATGAGTGCGACCCTACCAAGAGCAGGACAAAACCACTGCATTGGTACCAAGAGTACTTTAAAAATTGAAGTTAAAAATTATAAATGAATACATATTTATACATATGCAAAGGTACAAATCCTGCTAAAGATAAATGCCTTTTTTGTATGCTCATGGTTATCACAACAGTTTGGAGATGCAAGCATTACAAGACTAATTTTTCTACGTGTGATACTTAAGACAAAATTAAGTGAAACTAGAACAAATAAATTTCAATTTATATATCTGTAAAGTTGTAGGATTTATCGTTACATACCAGAGATTCAACGATTCCATTCGTGGTTGAACCTATTCCTTTCACAAATGACATCTGCTTGAGAAGTTCATAACAAATCATCAAACACTTCAGTAGTGTTTCAGGATCATTCTTAAGGACAAACAAGAAGTTTGTTGTTTGGAAAGAAAGACAAATAAATATTTTTTTTTCTATTCAAGTGAAATGCTATCCTTATACTACACACTCTCTCAGGAGTGCTACTCAGCGTCTACCTATTGGCATCCAAGTGAAAATAGATTACTGTTTGCTGAATCTGAAATTCACTTTTTCATTTATGACTAAGAGCATTAAAGATAAAAACCCAATATACAAAGGTTTCATTATAACCTTACTCAAGTACATGAACTGTGCAAGAAAAAAATATATTTAAAAAAAAAAATCAGCAGTTAAATTATAATGCATTTTACTAATGTGCACAACAATTCAACTTTCAAATTTAAGTGCCACAGTGAAACTGAAGCCAATGAAATGCTGGCTTGCAGCTTTAAATACACACATAAGGAAGTCACAGGCCTGTTCAGCACTTTGATAATATTTTTATTCACTGGTTTGTAGTTACCTGTCTCAAAATATACCATGCAAGTGCTGGTATGGGGATGGGGAGTCTGGGGAAGGATGGAAGAGATTAATAAAAAGAAGAGAACCTTTTCCACACGCATTTCTTCTATTTCAGGCTGCTCTGCTTCTTTTATCAGATCATTTTTGATATGTTCCAGCTCAGTTATTTTCTCTTTTAATACCGATGCACGATTAAAATCCTGAAGATCAATGCACTCCTCCAAAGCTACTTTCGTTTCAAAAAGTTTCACTTTTATTTCAGCCAGCTAAAATGGAATACCAAGAAAATATAAAGTGACAGTATTGCAACTAATCTTTACAAGCTGCAAACTTATGTTCAAAATATTTGTACACAAACTCATGAACAGCGTGTGCCCCTGGCAGCTGGAGGGGCACAGCTGCACTGGTGGCGGCGGGAGCCCCCACAGACACTGCAGGCACTGTATGTAGCGGAGGCAGGGTGGCAAGCACCACCCATGGGTGCAGTGCACCCCTATGCATCATCCCTGCATAGACTAGTCCATATACTCATCTTTTAAATATTTTATAAAAATATTTATTATAAAATAAAAGGATCTTTCAGTAGAAGTTATGTCCACTGATTTCATATGATCTAAAACTTATTTACCTTAAGCTTTTGCTTTCTTATTTCAGTTGCATCTATAGGCTTATCAAACGTAACAATTGGTTCACGTACTTCTGAGATAATTTCTGCAACCTAATATTAGAGGCAAAAATTATTAGTCTGCATTTAAGAAATGAGGAAACATACATTTTACTCATATACAACAAACACTTAAAAAAAATAGTTGTTGGAAACTGTGGTGCATGTCTTAAGGAAATGTGGGGAGCAAAGGGTCCAATCTTCCAGAAGTCAAATGTACCAGCTCTTTAATACAAGTAGGCAGACAACAGTGCATGCCAGAGCAACTAAGGGGCCACGCAGCTTAAAAACTGGGGCCAGGCTGTTCAGGTCAATCAGCAGGGTCAGCTGAAGGACCACTTCAGTTGGAGTGAAACTGGCCAGATCCCCTCTGAGCCAGGTGGGCTAAAATGGTAGGTACAACTGGCTGTCCACCAAGTTCAAGAAATGAGGCCGGACACTTTAGCTCAAACAGTGACAGCAGCTAAAGACCTGATCCTACAAAAGCCAAATTGCCCAACCTCACTTCTTGAGCAAGGCAGGTACAATGTCCCACAGCTACGGGGTTAAAACAGAACCAGCATTACAGGGTTCTGTTCCCCTCCTCCTGTATATTTCTGTAATTTTCTTATGAAAATACTCTACTTACTGGTATTGTCAAGGACATTTTTTTGATTTGGTCAACATTCCAAAAAACAAGGTGTGCATCTTATACATGGAGCATGATATACAACAAAATAAGATATATACTTGGTCTTCTTACATTAAAAGTAATTCCTCTGCTCAATAGTGCTTTTTGAAAACACTGCCCCACCAGCAAGAGGTGTGAAATTTCCTAATGTCCATAGAATGCAGATTAACGTAGTATATTATAGTTAGAGCAATATGGTCATTAGAGCTAAGATAGCCAGAGTGCTCCAGGCATAGTCCTTTTTCAGTTACTCATTCATGACTTCTAGGGGTGCAACATAGAGATTTTCGGCGCCAATACCAATAGCCAATATTTAAGGCGGCATATCCAATACTGATCCAATATCCGATACAGCTGCCTCCAGGTGGCAAGTCCGGTGTGGTGGAAGTGGAGAGGGGACGGGAGGGGAGGGATGGGAAGGGGCAGATCAATGCCCCCCACAGTGAGGGAAGGGGCAGGGTTGGGGGGGATGCGTTACCCTGGATCTGCATGGCACGGAGCAGGCTGCAGCTGTGGGGTGGAGCTGGTGCATGGCTCTTCTCGCCAGGGGCTGGGCTTAGAGCAGGCTCCGGCAACACTGGAAGGAGGCTGCAGCCCCCCCAAATTTTGCCACAGGTCCGCTCCCAGCCCCATACCATCACCACCCGTCCAGCATAGCCCTGGCTGAACACCCTGCCTCCACCCAAGTGTCAGGAAAAGACGTGGCTGCATCGGATGGTGCCGTGGGGCTGGGAGCGGAGCTGTGGTGAAATCTGGGGTGGCTGTAGCCGCCTCCTAGCGCTGCCAGAGCCTGCTCCAAGCCTGGCCCCTAGAGAGAAGAGCCACTCACAGTGTTGCCTCCACCCCTCAGCTGCAGCCTGCCCCGCACCATGCAGATCCAGCCTGCCCCCCCACCCAGCCCATCTCACCATGCAAGCAGCAGCAGGAGCTGCCCCTACCCCACGAGCCACGCCCCCTTCCCACCCCAGCTGGGCAGCACCTGTCCCTGCCAACTCCCTCACCATGGGAGGTGTTGATCTGCACCCCTACCTCCCTTCCCTCCCCACTCCGCTTCCGACTTAGCAGCTCTCCACACTGCCAGCTCTGCTCTGTGCTGTGCCGCGGCTTCGCACAGCATGGGCATTTATCAGCCAAAGCATCAGCCCCATAGGGCCAATATCTGATATGGACAATTTTCTTCATATCGGTACCGATCCGATATCAGGCTGACGTATCGGTGCACCTCTAGTGACTTCTTTCCAAAAAGTATGGAGGGGGTAAAATAAATGGAAGGGGGAAAAAGTATGCAAATATGGGTTTGAATCATCTTTAAAGTAGTGCTTTAGAATGTTCTGAAAAAAACTGGATTGAGATCTGGCATGTTAAAAGACCTCTACAAACTGGAAAAATCAAGAGCACACTAAATTTAAGGTGATATTGGTGTTGAACACGCTAGTACATGGCCAGTCAAAAGGCACATACCATAAGCTGCGCAAGTGTCAGCTAATTTACATATAGAATAGATGTGCACATCTACTAAGGTGAATGATAACTTAGGCTAGCCTGGAAAAGGAAATAAGAATCTAAATGCTGACAAATATAGTTGATTTCTGCTACTTCCACTATAATACTTTGTGAAGGCAAGTTGTTATAGGACCTAGACAACAGCTAAAGTTACTTACAGTCTCAATTCTTTTGTCATCATCTTTAATAATACTGAGCAATATTTCCGCAAGTGAAGATATGAGAGACAATGAAGTGGTAGGTAGAATAAGTATCTCCTGCAAAACGGCCAACAGACGTTTCCTGCAATTAAAAAAACAAAAACAAAAACAAAAAAGATATACTGTTTTTAAAATTACAGCTTCCTTTCTCAAATTTCATAGCTAATATTAAATCTATTTTCTGTATCCTAAAGAATATTTATTACTAGAATACTAGAATGTTCTTCACTATGCTAGTGAATCATTTTTCCCTTAATCAATAGTGTTTAGTGGCCTTGTTTTACCAGTTAACACTGAATTTTCTATATAAGTGGGATAATGATCTAAAATCAGGGCCGCCCAACTGGCAGATCGCAGGCCATATGAGACCTGCAATGGGTTAGTGTGCAGCCCCCAGACTCCTATCCAGCTGCCACTCCTCCTATTGCTCTGGCTGCTGTTCTAGCCAGGGTCTCTAGGCTCCCCCCTCCTTTCCTTAACTTTCACTTCCTGCTCCCATGCCAAAGGGTGTGGTAGCATAGCTCAAAACACTAGGGAAGTCCACAGCAGGGTCCAGCAAGGGAGCAGAGGTGGGAGCTATCTGCCTGTGCAGTGCAATGGTTGCCCACATTTGCATTATAGCTGGCATGTGTGGTAGGGGGTGTAGCCCAAGGACCCACGACCCAAACTGAGCAGGTACTAAGTAGTTGGACAACACTGATCTAAAAGAAGACAAATGCGATAAAAACAGTATGGATTAGAGCCCCTAAAACATTTAGTAAATTAATATCTATTTGCCCTGGCTCCCTGTCAAAGCTGGCTGGAGCCAGGGGCAGTAGGAACCAGAGGGAGCTCTCAGCAGGATTGCAGGCTTCAGCAGCCCAGCCCCACCCACCCCCAGCCAGTTCCCCAATTTCCTGCCCCCGCCCTGCTCCAGTACCATGTGGCTGTGGCTTCCTGCTGCATCCCCAGACCACAGAGCATGGGACCGCGCTGGTAGGGGTATGTATGTGTGTTCACGGGCATGTCGGCAGGCACAGGGGCAGTGTGTGGGTGGGTGTGTGTTCATAGGGCGAGTCCCACACGCACACCCCTCCATACACATGCATCTACGCCTCCCCTCCTACTGCCATACACAAACCCTAGCCACTCTCCCCACATACACCCACAGCCCCCACAAACCTATACCCACCCCCCACAATATACAAGAATAAGACTTCATTTTAAGCTATTGTGCAGTCACCTCTGCATACACTACACAAACGCATGTAAATCAGGACAAAAACATTTTTAAAATCAAATTAATGAATGTTGTAGATGATCACTTTTTAGAATATAATTTGGTATTTTTCTGGTTCTGAGACTGCAAAACCCCTTGCTGAAAGAAGTACTTCCAGGGGCAAGGGTGGGACTTCTGGTCACAAGATGGCACCGAGAGGGTGGGGCACCTGTCAAAGGGCAGGCTACCCACGCAGTCCTTGACAGCTTGCCAAAACTCAGTAAGCGGTCCTCCACCCGAAATAATTGCCTGCCCCTGCTATAGACACTTTTTTATTATCTATTCTGATATTTCAAAGAACTTTACTCCTTCAAAGCCTTCCCAGTTCATTAGATAACAATAAGTCTGCCAAATCAGCAGTTTTATTTGAAATACAGATACATTCAGAAAAAGACAAATGAGTATACACACAAGAGATGATGTTCCAAGCGTATGATTTTTCCATGACTTGCATATTTGCTCAAGTTGGAAGAAAGACATTTGAATGAATCAGTCAACTTGGCTTGGAACTTAAATGGAAATCTATGTCACCGACACCATGTCATGAAGGATATTCAGTTGGCACTTAGCTGTTCTGGCCAGAAAAAGAAGTGAATACACTACCTTGTTAACTGTGGGTCTGAAATAACAAAAAAATATTTAATACTTAATTTCCTACTAGAGTAAGCAAATAGGACTCAGCCCATACCTGGAAATCATGCTATTGATTGCTGAATTTTGACTGGTTGATTAGGTTCTTTCTTAAAAACACATTCTAGGTACAAGGTCACAGATTTCCCTACTAAATGTCAAAGATTCAAATAAAAAAAAAAAAAAAAATCAGACATGAATAATATTAAGTTTACCTTCCCCCCTCTTCAGTGGTATCCATACAGCCTATAAGAAGACTCAGCTGCTGACCTATAAATTCTTTTGTCATCAAGTGTTCAATACAAGAAAAATCTTCCCTTTGTTTTTCACTGAGAACTGGAATGCTCTGAAGGTAACTGAATGCAAAAAAGAAGACATAATTGAATGCATTGTTTTCACTGCAATGTCAAAAAACACAAAAAGGCAACTTTTCCTTAGTATTTTCATATAATAAAAAGATTCTCTCCCCCCCCCCCACTTCAATTCCAGAAGTTTCATAATTATTTTATTGTGAATGCTTATGGGTTTTCCTTTTTGAAAAATTGTAAGTTCTAGTCTATTTAGAAGACAAGCAATTCGGGTATTTCAAAATGTATAAAAAGTTCATACAACCCCAATATTGAGATGCCTAAATTAGCATAAAGTTAAGCACTTGAAAGCATTCTAAAAAAAAATAAATTATAAAGTTTAATCATGCCCCCTTGTGTTTATTATCTTTAAATATACATACATAAACCATTTCTCAAATATACCCTTGAATATTTTTCTACTTGGGCAACAAGCATAATATTTAATAACCACATCCATACAGAACCCTGGAAAATCTTACGTGAGAAGTACCCAGTAATTAATTCTTAGATTGGTGAAGTGTGGCAACCATAGAGCAAGAAAGAAAAATCTGGGTATTATGGAGACAGAAGTGGTTATACTGGGAAAAAAAAATCCTAAATAATTCACAAAATATTTCGTGTAATATAGATCATGGTATGCTTTTTGGACAAACGTCAATATGGATTTTAAAAAAAAGTGGGGGAGACATCATTTGTGCAGATGAGTTAATGGTGTAAAGCAAAATAAAAAAAATATGACAAGGCACCTACTTTTCTGATCAGCTGCTGGGTTAATAAGTAATTTCATGCTGGAAACACCTGTGGCTCCAGGATATGTGCTGGATACTAACACATTTCTAGATAAAGTCAGCAGTTCTGCTTTTGTTCCTAAGCAATTATGGTCCCAAATACCTGAGCTTCTGCTCTTAGGGTACCACTGTGCTGTCATAAAATCAACTGATCAAGGATCTTAAATTATCAAATATGATCTGAAATGGGAGGGTCTTGTGGGCACTCAGACACCTGTAAGTATGGAAGTTGCTTCATATCTGGTCCTGTAAAACCTAGTTTCTCTTATTCCAGTTTGCTAGCTGTGAGGAAAAAGTGGCAGGAAGAATTCACAGAAGACTGGCAGGAAGGCAGGCAAAGTTATTATGAACAGGTGTGTCAAATTTATGGCCTGCAGAGCTGTCCTAGGCGACCTACTGGGCTACCAAAAAGTTGGGGCAGGGGAATGGACATGGCCTGCCACAGAATTACACTTACACTTAATCTAGATCTGCCTTCGCGTTGTTTTTGCTGCGCTCCAGTACAAAACAAAATGCTATTCTTTTCCTTTATCAGCAGCTTCAACTCCCTTATCCAGATGTCATAAGCACCATATCCATGAGCATTAGTTGCTTCCTCTTCAAATTAATATTGATACCAACTCTTAATCTGCCATCTCTTCTCTGATTTTAAATTGAGATAGTCACTAGCTTCCCAGCAGCAGAGGTCTTTAGTCTATTACCAGTTTTTGGCTAGATGTTTTCCCCAAATTTTATTTTGCCCACTCAGTGGTACATGGATGTGGTAAAAGAATTTCTGCCACTATAGAACGTTACATAGGTGAACCGCTTTCTACCAGGACAAAGGAACAAGTTCTTTCAGTTCAAGAGTTGGGATTACATTCTACATGACATAACGATGGCACAGCCATATTTTTGCATTACAAACTTCCTAGCTCTACCAGAATCTTTTATTTGTTTCTGTTAAAATTGGCAACAGCCACAATAAGGCTGGATCGCATTGACTCTCCCAATGCAATTTTGATAGGGCTTATAACTCCCACTCATAAATGCTGTGACTTCAATTTAGTCACAATCCCTAGTTTAGGAACTGCTGCAATATAACGTCACAAGCTGAACCAAACTTCAGCACAAAGGTGTTGGCCCTGGAAGCATGGATGAAGACAGGTAGCCCTGTGTGTAACAAGATGGCTTTTTTTTCTTGCCAAGATTTTTTTCCTCTCTTTTCACTTTAACTTCTGTTAATTGACTTCACTCAGCATTAACACAAATGTTTCTTAGTATTCATAAATTTGTTCTTGGTATTAGGCAGTGTAAGCTACTACTTTTTATTGATAATAACAATTACAACTTCACTATGAATAATCACTCCACCACCAGATGCTAGGAACGCTCAAGGAGTCGTTTCAGTAAGAGCAGCAACTCTCTTCACAGCTTCCACTTTAGTATTTAAAAAAAAAAAATCATAAAACTGTTTTCCCACTTGGAACTTCATAAATTAGACATAAGTAGGGAAAAAAATTCTAGTACTTAACCTGAAATGGTATACTGCTGACATAATACAACACGATAACTGAAGAAAGCACCACCGAGTTTGAGTTTTACCTTGCTGTCTCTGGTTTTAAAAAGAGAATCTAGAAGTGAGCCATCTTGCCCAGTCTCTTTAAACAGTACAGATAATAAAGACTACAGAGACCCCAACAGGTAATTGTTATTAAAGATTCCAATATTGCTTGTATGAGGACACATGGGCATTACATGTGGGAACACATTACCAAGAACAGAGCTGGAGGTTTATTCTACAGTATTTTATTTTTATCAGCAGCCTCAGTCTTGGACTTCAAGAACATCAGTGAAGGAGTCGAGCAAGGCTTGTTATCTATTAATCCACAAGATTTGAGAATACATTTAGCAAAGAAGTTAATTTTTATGGTTATCTGACATTTGTGGGGAAAAGCTATTTATAACTAGGGACATATTTAATTTGTGGTTCTGCAGTTTTTGCGGAAACTGCAAAACAACAAACAAAGCCAGGAAATATTCCATCAACCACCACCCCAAAAAACAGCTTATTGATCATATAATACACTGCTTTAGAACCTCCCAATCCTTACTGCAATACTTGGACAATGTGGCAATCCCCGTAGCCACACATGTGATCAAGATTTATTCTCTACAGCAAGGGGCAGGGCCTCTCCACCAATCTACAACAAGAGGTGGGGCTGCCAGGAAATGGTTGTGAAATTGGCCCTTCATGGCACGAGCATGCTGCAAAAATGGCTTGTCTCGCCGCAAGTTAAATAGATTCCTATTTATACCAATTTGATGAACATTTGAAGACTTTCCAGAAACAGAGTAGTGCACACAGCAGCAACATTCTTATGCTGTTGTTGAATGTAAAACAAGTTAAACAAAGTCCATTTCCATATTGTCACTCATTAATTTCACCAATATATTGTGATGATATGTACAAAGGTGAAGCAGAAGAGAATTCAAAAAGATATTTATGCAGATGGTTCTTTTTTCTTGTCATTTAACTATACAAATTTATTTTGACCATAGCTAAGAAACATTTGTGACTTCTCTTCTCCATTTTACCTACAGCTGTCATGTACTTGTGTTAGCTTCAACAGTTTTTCCTATGTTTATTTCTGGTAAAATATTTCCATACAAGTGATTTTGGCTGCCCCACTTCCCATTATTATTAATGCCTCACCCACTAGAATGCAAGTGTCTAGATTATAAAACATTTCTTGCATTTTAAATCAGCCACTTGCTACCCAGTTCTGTTTGTATCTGCTACTCTATCAGAAGGTCAGTAAAGTAAAATGTTCTCAGGCATTTTCCTCTTTCTACTCGGGACCTTTTCACTCAGGACCCAGATCACACAGATGGACAGAAAGCAGGCAGCTTCTCTCCTCTAATACATGCAAAATGCACTGACTTTCTTCCTGACCAACTTTTTTTCCCCCCATTTCAACTGCCTACATCAAGACATTTAGACTCGCTGGAGTATTTGAGCGTGAATAGTCCATTGGTAGTCAGTTGACATTATTTAACTGGCTTGCCATCCCAACTATCATTGACTGAAGTTGATGGAATTTTTTAAAGTTCCAAAAGATCTTAACTTCCACTGAAAGATCTTAACTTCCACAATCCCTAAATATGCAATAAAACAACAATATTCTCTTACGACTTCACCTGCACTCAGAATAGACAGCTCTGATCTGCCAGACAGTGTGTATGCATCCTTCCATAAATTAAATGAGCATGATCCTGCATAGGTTTGCAGGGTAAACCAAGACTTCCTCAACAACTGCTTTATTGCTTGAGCCTAAGTGGTACCAGGTAGTACAGAATGCAGTGAGGCTAGGTGAGCTGAATGAGGAAAAAATGCAGAAGCTCATTAAGTAAAAGAACAGGGGATGGAGACTGATAGAAGGATATCAGGGAAAAGAATAACTCATAACCACTAGAATGCTCTATTCTCCAAAGCCTGAAATGGAACCCAGGATTTTCAAACTCAGACACTCATTGCTGCCTAGCAAATATTTGTGAAACAAACTGACAATCTGTCTTATCCCCAGTAGTGACAGCTACACAAAGGATAAACAGCATTGTGCCATCAGCCATTTACTCTGTTAGCTCAAATGAGAGAGGACTATTGCTCTAGATCTCAACATCCTAATCCTGATTACCCAAATTGAAGAGGGTCAAGGTGGTTGGATTTGACATAACGGGTTTCAGATTGCTTCATAAAAAGTTAGGAATTTACACCCAAAAGATAAGTAAATGAACACCAAGGTTCAAAACAGTCAAATATTTAAAAGTTGGGAAATTCCAAATTTAAGGTTGACCATATAAACTTAATTTAGCTGTTCTGTGCATATGCACTGATACACACTTTCATTACACAACCACATGATATTATTAAGACAGGATCCCTGCCTCATTCTGTAACAAAGCAAGGACAGTGCTTATTCAATGGCTAGCTTTAATTTAATACCTTTTTATCCTCCTCATTCAAATGTATGGCCTCATAAATTACCTACTGCTTTATTTTTTGACATTTCTTAAATTGATTTTGCAGCTTTAATGTTTTTTGAACAAAATATAAGAACAAGTAACATTGCACAAACTGAAAATCCAGAGATAAGATCAGATACAAGACTGATGATCTTCAATCTGTGAATGTGTGTTAATCATTTAATCCTTATCCTTACCCTCCAATTCATGCACATGTTTGCTGATTTCTTTACTGTAAGCATTTGATATAAGGAATGGTTATACATCAATAAATTAAACTAATCTCTCCTGTTACTTTTTTTTTTTTTTTTTTTAAACCACACACTTTAGAGATTAAAATTTAAAGTTTAAAATATATTTACCTTAGCAGATATTCTGCATAGATGGCAGGTTCTGGCACAATCTGCTCTAATAAAGCTTCACCTTCTTCACCCTTTGACTTTAGATACTCACAAAGAGATCTCCAGTACAAAGCATTTTCAGCAGTAAGCTCTTCCACTGGAATCATTTTTCTGAAAAGTATAGACACATACAGAGAAACTGTTGATATCAGCTAAAATATTAAAACATAAAACGCAATTTTCAATTAGTTTTCCCTGAAAATTTAACTAGCAAAGTTCAGTTCACAGGAAAAAAGTGCTGATACTGTTTGAGTGAAACACAAGAACTATTTCAATAATATTTGAGAGTCGTTCTGCATGTATGTACAAATGATGGCATGATGTGCCACGAAATTCAATGTTAACGCAGGAAAAACATTTGAAAGAGTCCATGTGATGGATGGAAATAAGATGCAACCCTAGAACCATCCTTTTTCATTTTCCACTTCATTCGTTACATTCAAGATTGATCATTTTGCTAAAATAACTAACTAACTAACTAACTAAAGCCATTTGCCATCTGTATTTTGATGCAGACTTCCCACTTAACAGCAAGTAACCCGCCAAGGACAAACTCACATACGTATTCCAATTAGCAGCCCCAAACACCCACAATGAACTTGACACTACGGCTAAAAAGATGGGATGAGACAAATCCACAGAAACAGTTTGCAGAATTCTGCAATACAGCACACAATGTGTTTACTGTGTCAGTATTACACACTGATCAAATCATCTCTTTCTTTGAGCAATGAATGTGCAGAACCCCTTGAGTCTCACTATAGCAGTTTTTCAATCCTTTCAATCAGGGGTATCAAACTCATTTGGCCTTGTGTAGTTCTCTCACAAGATGGATGACCCACGTCCAGATCTAGCTTGGAAGCTACTCACCACAAGTGCCAGCAGTAAAGGAGATAACAGTACAACTGCCAGAGACAGTGTGTTAGTGCCAGTAACCAAGGAACTAACAGTGCTGCTTGCTGTTCAATATACCTAGATACTGCTATGGAAGCCGCTGTGCCAGAGAAAAGCAAAAGGGCTTGAGCAGCTGCCATATTTACTCCTCAGCTGTTGGTGCTGACAAAGGGGCTCTGACAGTCTCAGCAAGAAGCCCTGCTGGCCAAATGACCCATGAACCATACGTCTAACAGTCTCTATTTAAAATGTTCCTGCGGGTTTTTTGAATCCTATCCCTTTTTGCAGCATCTTCCCTGAACCGTAACACCACAACTAGATGAAGTACTCTAACAGTGTTTACGGTAATGCCAAATTGAAAAGGCAAGACAGCAAAACCCCAGTTGCGAATCATGAGTATAGAGCATGATACTCTTTCAGCTCATTTCTCCATAATAAAGAACACTACCCCCTCCCCCATTAAAGACTAAAATCCTGAACTGAAATTTGTAACAGTTGAAAGTATTCATCTTTAAAGATGCATAGAATTAGCTCATGTACCTGCTATCAAGGTTCTTGCAGTTTTGAACTAAGTCACTAATTGAAGATAATGAAAACATGGCATTAAGCATAGGAACAGCCACTTCAGGACAGTCTTCTACATCCAGTCGATGAAGCAATTCTAAAACATCCCCTTCAGTCACCCGCAACCAAGATTGAAGAAGTTTCTTCTTCACCACCTCCTTAACAGCATCTATTTAGCGATAAAGGAAGCTAATTATATTGAAAGTATAAAGTACCATGTTTCCCATATATATTCAAATACAATTTCATACTGCATATTTCTTAGTCCATTTTAAAATATGGTCAGTAACTTCTTACAATCTGATACAAGGAAAGAGGCAATATGATGACATTAAAAAACACCACCGAGTTTTACGTTGCTACCTCTGGTTTTAAAGAGAATCAAAAAGTGAGCCATCTTGCCCCTGCCTCTAAAAGCACCAGAAATAATAAAGACATACAAAGTAGAGGTGCCCCAATACATCGGTCTGGTATCAGATCGGTACCGATATAAAGAAAATGATTTGATACTGGCCTTAAGTGGCCAATAATTGGGCCAATAAATGCCCATGCTGCACACAGCCGCAACGCAGCCCACAGGCAACGAAGACAGCCTGCAGTGTGAAGAGCTGCCTCTAGCTATTAAGTGTGGGGTGGGGAGGAAGGCGATCAAGTCCCTGCTGTGAGGGAGGGAGGGGCTAGAGCTGGGGCAAGTGCTGCTCAGTCAGGATGGGTGGGCAGGGGACAAAGCCTCAGCTCATCCAGGGACATGGGATAGAGCAGGGCTCATCTGGGGAAAGGCGGGGGCGCCTGGAGGAGGTGGCTCATCCAACGACTCCTGCTACCACTGCTGTCACTCGTCCGGGAGAGCACCGGGAAGCATGTACCCCTGGATCTGTGTGAGGCAGGGAGGGCTGGGGCCGGGGCTGTTCCCAGCAGAGCCCAGGCCAGGCAGAGCGTGCAGGAGGCAATGCCGCTGGGAGCAGGGGGCTATAAGGAGGCTACAGCGAACTTTGGGGTGGCTGCAGACCCCCCCCATAGCCCCCTGCCAACGATGTCACTCCCCCGCCCTACCCGTCTTTGGCTCTGCCAGGAACAGGCCCCGGATCTGCACGGGGTGGACTGGAGCTGGGGCAGTTCCCAGCGGAGCCTGGGCCAGGCACAGCGGTGCCGCTGGGAGGGGGCTACAGGGTGGGTTGCAGCCACCCTGAAGTTCACCATAACCCCTGCTCATAACCCTATTAAAGAATTTGAAGTACGGAGAATAAGTGTTGACTTGGGTTGAATGTAAAAACCAAACTTTAGATATAGACAAATATAGCAACTGTATCACTATGACAGCATACCAATACAAGCTGTTACGCTACAGCTTGTACCTCTGCATGTTTCTGCATATCTGTGAGTATGCAAGCATAGCAAAACTATGAAAAATAATTGACAATAAACCTTAAAAAACTGAATCCATTAGTAACAGCAAGCAAAAATGATGAAGGAAATAGTTCTCTTACCAGATCTGTCATTGAGTCCTTGCTGCAATAGCTTTACTCTCTGGGCTATGGACAAAACTTTCATTGGAACCTTTTCTGCCAAAACCTTTAAAAAAGACAGATATCTGACTAAAATTAATTTCTACACTGTAGACTCAGCAGCTTGAAACTGAACACTCCAAGTACCCATTATGGTGGTAAATAAAAGGTAAACCTAACAGAATCAAGAATGTAGAAGCATAGTTAAAAAATTAAATGCTACTGTCTAACAGCAATTACAAAACAAGCTTCTGACCATAGTCTCAAAGATAGATAAACCTGCTGCATTTGTGGCCCAGTGTTGTGGAGAGCCAAGGAGAGGAACTCTTGACTTTGCAGGCTCAACTGCATTTTACTTCAGCAGGGTTTTATATGAACACAGGAGTCTGCTTACTTAATCCTGCACAGCATTAGCACTTAAATTTTTCCTTCCTGCCACTTAAGAGCAAATTTTCCTTTGAGGCACTAAAAAGAGAACTCAAACATGTTATTTGATGAAATAACACTGCTACATGAAACCAAAATATCTCCTTCAGAGACCATCAGTACAGATAGCAACCTAAAAACTAAAGTTTGATTACCTAAGAGGGCCCTGGATGATTGGAAAAGGGCAAACAGCACTCATCCAAGAGGAGGATCCAGGGAACTACATTCAGCTTCACCTCAGTCCCTGGAAAAAAAAAATCATGGAGCAGGTCCTCAAGGAATCCATTTCTAAGTACTTGGAGAAGAAGGTGATTAGGAACAGTCAGCATCGATTCACCAAGGGCAAGTCATGCCTGACCAACCTGACTACCTTCTATAAGAAGACTGGCTCTGTGGATGTGGGAAGAACAGTGGACAACATATACTTTGACTGCATCAAAAACCTTACTAAATTCTCCCACATTCTTAAAAGCAAGCTAAAGAAGTACATGTTGGATGAATGGACTGTAAGGTGGACAGAAAAATAGCTAGATCAGACTCAAAAGGGTAATAATCAATGGCCCCATGTCTAGCTGGCAGCTTGTATCAAGTGGATTGCTCCAAGAGTCAGTCCTAGGGTTGGTTGTTGAATACCTTCATCAATACTGTGAAAGATGGGATGGAGTGCACCCTCATCAAGTCTTCAGATGACGTCAAGCTGGGGAGAGTAGATATGCTGGAGGGTAGGGCTAGGATTCAGAGACCTAGACAAATTGGAGGACTGGCCAAAAGAAACCTCATGAGGTTCAATAAGGAGAAGTGAAAGTCCTGCACTTAGGATGGAACAATCCCATGCACCAGTATAGACTGGGAACTGAGTGGCTAGATAGCAGCCCTACAAAAATGGACCTGGGGGGTTACAGATAGCAGCCCTACAAAAATGGACCTGGGGGGGTACAATGGACAGTAAACTGAATATGAGCCAACAGTGCACCTTTGTTGCAAAGAAGGCTAATGACATACTAGGATGCATTAGTAGGACCGCTACCAAGAGATCAAGGGAAGTGATTATTCCCCTTTATTAGGCACTGGTGAGGCCACATCTGGAGTAGCGTGTCCAGTTTTGGGCCCCCACTACAGAAAGGATGTGGATAAATTAGAAAGAGTCCAGCAGAAGGCAATGAAAATAGCTAGGGGGCAGAGGCACATAACTTCTGAGGAGAGGCTGAGGGAACTGGGCATATTAAGTTCAGAGAACAAACTGAGGGGGGATTTAGCAGCCTTCAACTACCTGAATGGTGGTTCGAAGGAGGATGGAGCTAAACTCTTCTCAGTGGTGGCTATGTGACTGTTTCTTGAACTTCAGCCTTTGAGGCTTCTGGGATAAAAACATTTCTTTCTTTGTGTTTATACCACACTTTGGACATTTAGGTGCTACTACAATAAAGCAATACATGAATCCTAATGAAACTCTAACGACACACAGGCTATAGGGAAAAAATGCATAGCTCCGAGAAAAAAGTTGAATTTACAAAACGAGTAGGAAACAAATAGAATTTTTATGTTCTCTGTTCCTGAAGAGCTGTGCTCAACAAAGTTTGCATACTCACCACTACAAAATTTGCCTTTGTTCACGTTCACAATGACCAAAAACCTCATGTCACCAAGGAAAAATTGACTACTTTTGCAAAGATTCAGAAGAAGCAACTTGAAAAGTTAGGGAACCTGGCTGTGCCTTATGCAAGAACTTTCCCCATAACAGAGTATGAAAAATACCAATTACCTCTCTTTTCCATCAAGAGATTATTTTACAAAACAAAAAGTTTCTGAAGGTTTTGAAACAGAAATTAAAAGATGTTGGGATGTTTTACCTCATATGCCAGCTTCCTGACAGCTTCTTTAACATCCATAATACGACCGACAATTTTTGGCAATGTCTGGGCAGATGGAGCAATACATGACAACACTGCACGCCTCACTTCTGAATTTGAATCATTTTCAAGCAAAGTGTTATAAACTAGAGAAGCCAAAAGAAAAAATTGGTTTTAAACATGAAATATTCACAGTATAGAATAAAAACTATTACATTATTTCTTTGTTTGCCATTTGTACCACTTGGGGAACCACTATTTTCCCCCCCACAAAAAGCAAACTTTGCATCACAGTTGAGATTAGAATAGTCAACATGTGGTGCACATGTAACAAGTAGTATAGGCACCTTCTGTGTGACACATGCAGATAGGGCAGGAAGCAGAAGCAAACAGCAAGCTGAGCAACAGACCAAGCAGGAAGCACAGGGAAGAGAGCAGAAAACAGAGCAGCAGATCAGGCAGGGAAAGGGATAGGACTAGCACTTGGGGGAAAGCAAAGGGCTTAAACTTGTGGTACACCTGCTAAAAGAATTGGCCCTCACTGGTTTAGACCCTAACCAACTATAAATGAGCAAGTATCTTGTATTAATTAAATAGGCCAGAGATTCATTTAGGACAGGGGCAGGCAATTATTTCAGCTGAAGGGCGACTTAGAGGTTTGTGAGCTTTGGAGGGCCACATTGGTAGCCTTGCCCCTTAACAGTAGCCCCACCCCCTAGTTGCCATCTTGGAACCAGAAGTCCTGCCCCCAACCCCTGACCTTCGCCGCCAGAAGCCCCTCCTCTTGTCCCCCAGAAATACTCCTTTTGGGAGGGGGGTTACATCTTAGAACCAGAAAAAAACAATCATACACTAAAAGCCAAACATCTACTATAACACATATTAATTTTATTACAAATGATATTTGTCATGATTTGTGTTTGCATCGTATATATAGAAGTGATTGCATAATAACCAAAAAATAAAATCTTAGTGTCATAGTGTGAGAGACAAGGGAAATGGATGGACTCTGATCGAAGAGGAGGGGAGCCCAGGCCCCTGCTTCCCCGCGGAGTCCCAGGACCTGCACAGCAGGGAGCGGCAAAGGCAGCTGCCTCCATTGCATAGAGCTTCCCTCCAGTGCTTTGCAAGTGTGGGAGTCGCACATGTGCAGCACAGGGCTTTGGCAATAGAGGCAGCCCAGCTAGGCTGCGCTCCTCGCACCTATGTGCAACGCCGGCCAGAGCCACGTGCCACCGGGCACCAGTGCCTGCACTGGGCACGAGCTCCCTGAGAACTTCCACCTAGAATATAGGGGGAACATGGCAGAGGGGTCTCCACACCCATCTTCACACCCACACCCTACCCAACCAAGCTCTGTGCTGCTGCCACCAGCCCCAACCCCACACTCCTGCCCAGGTGCAGCTCCCTGCCTTCTCTGCCCCTGCCACTTCCCTACCTGCTGCAAGTGGGACACCAGGGAAGCCAAGCAGATCCCCCAGAGGCTGTAGCAGTGGCAGCAGCAGCACTGCCTGGGAGCTGTGTGCTGGTTTGGCCGGACACTTCTGCCCACGACGATGACAGTGAGGCACAACACGGTATGTTGGCAGGGGGTGTATATAGTGGGCATCTTGCTCCCACCCTCATGGGCACACGGGCTAGGTGGGGTAGAATTAGTTGGCTGTCACAGTGGGTTGAATAAGAGTGCCTGGTGGGCCAAATCTGGCCTACAAGTCATATTTTGCCTGTCCCTGATTTAGGGCCTATCCCACAGGCAGGACTTTCTCAATATAGAGGCCTTTCCCTTCCAAGGAGGAATATGAGGGCACAGCATAGTTCCCATTGTTTTGACAGACTTGTGACTACTTTGGACTCTCCCCCCTTCTCTTTTTTAAATTGTTCTTTATTTTATCTGTTATCTCAGTTTCTCCCATTTTTTTTTGTATTTATATGGACTTTATTTGATAGCCCAATTGTTGCGGGCAGCATATATGGCTTGTAGGGCTGTGCAAAATGGCACCATTCCATTTCAACTTGTGTTTCGATGGAACAGCGTTTAGTTTCAAATTTCATTTCAATTCGAAATAGCTGTTCCGTTTCATTTACTTGAAACAGTGATACTGTTTTGACATTTCATCCATAGACTATAATGGGGAAGCTTGAAACAGCCTCTCTCATCCAGCAGGCAGATCGGGGGGCCCGCAACCCCAGGAGGGCTACGCAGGTCCTCCCAGGAACCGGATCTGCCTGCCAGATGAGGGAAGGAAATGGGTGCTGCCACCTGGGACTGGGGAACTGGGGAAGTAAACTGAGCCTGATCACTCAGTTCCCCTCCCCAGCACTATGATCAGGCTGAGGAAAGGAACTCAGCCCAGCTGAGCTGAGTTCTCCTCCCCAGCCTGATCATAGCACTGGGGAGGGGAACTGAGCCCTGAGGCTCAGTTCCCTTCTCCTGCGCTGCAATCGGCTTCCCGCAGCCCAGCCACGGGAGGCAGGGAAAGCCAGGACTGCACTCCTTGCCTGGCTGAGCCATATGGGGCTGCGGAGCCGCTGGGAGTGCAGCCCTGGTTCTCCCCCATCTCTCACCACCTGGCCGCTTCAAAACATTGCAACTAGCCTCATTTTGTTTCAAGGCTGTTTTGAAGCCCTGTTTCATTTTGATTTCGCTGTTTCAAACTCGGAATGAGTCACAACAGTGTCGAAACAAAACAGCCAGCAACATTTTGCACAGCCCTAATGGCTTGGCTTGCCACTATTCTGACTTATATTTGCAAATTGTTGGAAAGGCAACTTATAAAAAAGATTTTTAAAAATGTTATTGTCAAATTACAGAATTTTTGACAATGTAAAACATTATTGTTGTATAGTAATAATTATTTTTTAACAGGATGTAAAGTTTAGTTAATGTAAAAAAGGAAAACCTTAGACAACAAATATTAACGAGTGCTTATTGGAAGGGAAAGGAAGCAAATACAATGCCAGAAGTCAGAGCACTCACCATTAACAACAGAGCAGTTCTCATCCTTGGGATCCTGAAGTCTAGACAGTGCCGGTACAGCCTGGATTCTCACATTTGGAAATTTATCCTTCAGTCTAATCAGCATGGCTTCATTAATTTTATCAAACAATTCATCATCAATCTGGGCATTTTCTGGCATATTTTCCAAAAGTGTATTAACAAGCTGGCATGCTCGAAATCTAACTGCATGGCTGTTTGCATTGTGAGACTTAAAGGAAAAAAAAAGTCAAGTACATTCAATTTTTCTTATTTCTACTATATGTTATACAGCAACGCATGCATGTACACACTGAACTGCCTGAACACATATCATATGCATATGTTGTTCCATACGGTCAGACGCTGACTATGATTCTGCAAGAGCTCATTATCAACTTTACTATTGTGAACAATCCCATTGAAAGAATAGTAGTAAAGAACCAGATCATATTCTCCTTATTATTAAAAGGTGATCACTAAAGTGTGATTATGTTCCACTTCGCTCAAGTCCCTAAAGAAAAAGTGAGAATGCAAACAGTAGATCAGTCTATCTGCTTGCTGCTTTTTCTGACTTAGCCTTAAGCCTATGATAAAGGTATGTTATAGAAGTATGTACATCTGTGTTTTTTCCTCTTTCCCCACTCCACCTCCCAAGGACCGAAACAGGTGGAAACGGGTTACACTTTGGTGCAATAGGTGGAATGGGATCTGGCCCAAAGTCTTTGCAGAACTGTTGGTTATCTGAATACTTTAAGGCAAAGACTGAAAAAAATTCAAAGAATAATAAACTGATTTCATTTTCAGACATTTTTTTTTTCCCCATATTCCAAGTTTTGGTCAGCTTACTTGCAGAATTGTAATTTTAAAACTATTTTTAATATGGAAAAGTCGCACACTATCAGCAATTTCTTGTTACTGGAATAATTTTCATTAAAATATTGTAAGAGGTCTAAACTAGAAAGCTTTGTCAATGCATGCTGGGCATGTCTACACGTGCTTTTATGCACACCTAAACTTAATGCACATTAAGGCAATTTAGGCATGCATCGACACATGCACTTGCTAAGGCGCATTAACGTGGTGTGCAGACCGACTTGGGACTAAAGTTAGTCCCAAGCCAGTCGACATACACAACATTAATACTCCTTAAAGCGTCTAAATGTATGCTAAGGTGCTTTAGCTATTTGTGCCTATATTTGATACCTGCTTTTGCAGGTATCAAATTTAGGCATGAATTGCCTAAAATCACCATTTTTAAAGGCACATTAAGGGTGCACATGTGTAGACCTACACCCTTAATGAGTCGTAAAAATGGCTGATGCACCTTAAAAATCAGCACATGTAGACATGCCCACTGCACTATAAGCCAGCCTTACCTTTCTAGTACACAGACAGGAGTTTACAGAAGTGCTTATATCTGTAAAACTTCTGCTGGTTCATCAACCAGAGCTATACTTCTATAAGTGTGTAAAGCTGCCTATAAACAACATCACTGATTATCAAGCAGGGTGTCATGGCACCCTGGAGTGCCTTTTGATCTTTCCAAGGCTGCCCTGGGTTCTACACAATGTTAGCACTGTTTAGGTATACAAACATGATTCGCAAGATAAACCCAAAGATTTCAAATAGGAATCCAGTGTCCAAACCATTATGACGTGCTGTAGTCTTCTCAAATTCTCTGCTAGAGAAAAACTGCTGTATTATTTGTCACTTGGTTTTTGGCTAAGGAAAACTAAGAGCTGACATTTTCCAAGGAGTGCCTTAAAAGGCTGAGAACTGCTAAACTAAATTTACATTTGGTCTTTAATAGCATACCAAAACAGCAAAAAAAAAAGCCCAACACATCTCTAACCAACAAAGCTGTGCCAGTAAAAATTGACAAGTTTTGACCAGTCTCAACCCGATCCACGTTTGACCATCACATTAGTCTGGAGAAGAGAAAACTGAGGGAGGATTTAATAGCAATCTCCAACTACCTAAAAGGTACTTACAAAGAGGCTGGAGCTAGACTGTTCCTGTTCCAGGATGGAGCTAGACTGCTCCAGTTGCAGCAAGAGAAGTTTAGGTTAGATCTTCAGAAAAGCTCTCACAAGGAGGGTAGTAAAGTACTGGAACAGGTTACCAACAGGTTGTAGAATCTCGATCCTTTGAGATTTTTAAAGACCTGGGTAGCCTTATCTGGGATGCTATAGTTGAACAGTCCTGCTTTGAGCAAAGGGCTGGACTAGATCAGTTGATTTCCTGAGGTCCCTTCCAACCTTAATTTTCTATGATTAATAATTGAATAAAAGCTGTTATCATACCTCAAGCAGGAAGTTAAACAAGTAATTCAGAAGTGAATTGTTTTCCTCTTCCTCAGTAACACCCTCTTCATCTGCTTGATAGAGTGAACTTACGAACTTAGCTGCAAAATTTATCACTTGCTCTACTGCGGGTTCCCGCTTGTAAACTACCATTGGATATTTAAGGAAATGAAGAAACTCCTCATGAAAATGTTTCTTCTCATCCAGCTGAAAGATAGCAATCACAGTGATTTGTGAATGAGTGAAGGGAAATGATTCATCTAGTACAATATATTAATGAGCGCCTGCAGGCATACCCACAGAACATGAGAAAGAGTCTCTCAAACAAGTAGCAACTGTTTGAGGTGTGTGCAACCTTTCGGCAACCAGACACCAAGTTAATACAGCACAGGTCTCCTTGGGCTAGAGGCATGAGGTGACAGAGGCAGCCACAGGACTGGCACATTCTCACGTGAACACACTTGGTGGGCAGGATAAAAATCACTGTGCAGCCAGATCTGGGTTATGGGCAGCCCACCCCAATTTAGATCCTTAGGCTAAAAACAGACCACTGGTTTAAAACTGGTTTTGACTTGCATGAAAACAGGCCAGGAGAATCATTTACACAGGCATCCTGAATAATAATTACTGTATTTCAACTGTATATACATCAACATAGCGTCTAAGTCAACCCCATTTTTCTGATCCAAAATGTTACAGATTTCATAGATTCAGTGTATAAGCTGACCTAACTTTTTTAGATCAGAAATGGGGGAGGGGGGGGGGGGAAGAGGCAGAGACATGCCACAGTGCCGCTCACACGGGACAGGACTGGGCTTGGCTGGCACAACCTCATCCCCTGCAAGTGGTACTGCCTAGGCTGTGCCAGTGAAGAACTGAGCCTGGCGCCATTCACAGGGGATAGGGCTGCACCAGCCAAGCACCGAGACCGGCCCTGTCTACTGTGAGTAGCGCTGCTGAGCACCAAGCCCAGCCCTGTTCCTTGCAAGCGGCACCAGGCTCGGTGCTCGGCTGCCATGGCCCAGGCAGCACCACTCACAGGAGACGGGGCCACGCCAGACTAGTGTCGAACCCAGCACCGCTCACAGGGGATGGGGACAAGGCTATGCTCAGTGCTCACCTGGCATGGCCCCATCCCGTGGGCAGCGCTGCCTGGGCCACACCAGCCAAGCGCCAAGCCTTGCCTCATCGGCAGCAAGCAGTGCTGCCGAGTGCAGACCCTAGCCCTGCTCCCTGCGAGCAGTGCCCAGCTTAATTAGCCACCAGGCCCCCAGGGCAGTGGTTCCCAGTCTGTGGCACGGGCACCACCAGTGCTACCCGTCAGTGGCACGCGTTAACACATGCACGATAATTACTTTACAATGACAAAAAATGTGCTGACGGTACTTCACGCTGTATCGATTTAAATTGGAGGTGAGCAACCTGTCAAGAGTGTAGGAACCGCAGCCCAAGAGTATTAATCAAGCTTCCCATCCAACTGCCTCCGGCGGGGCGGGGCGGCGCCCGGGCATCTCATGTGGGACGGCGGGACCCGAGCTCCCCACGCATCGGCCCCGGAGCCCGGACCCGTCGCTCACCTGCGCGTAGGTCCGCCTCAAGGCCGCCACCAGCTTCGCCTGGTTCTGCTGCGGCTTTTGGCGCATGCGGCTTCTGCGCCAGCGCGAAGGCGTCGCGGACCGACAGCAGCTCCGCATCTACACCCATGGCCGCCGGGACCCGCCGCCGGCCAACGGCCAACTGCCCCCGCGCGCCCGCTTCAAACGCGTCACGTGAAGCCGCGCCAGTCTCGCGAGAACAGAAGCGGGCGGGGCTAGGTTGTGGGGTTCTCCCGAGGGTGGGGGCGCGGTCGCCTCTCGTCTCGCTCGCGCCGTCTCCAAGCTCGCCGGCCGCGGGGCAGGAGAGAAGCTAATATGGTTTGGAAAAAGAGCTTTTCATGTTGTTGAAAAAAAAGACCAGAAAAACCCAACAACCCAATATGAGAAAAAAATAGGTTCTGGAAAAATATAGAAAAGCAGAGGATTACGTACCTAGCTATATGCAAAATTAGTTCCCCGGCTTCCGATGTGCCTTCATTGCGCCTGCATGATGGTGCTGGAAAAGAGAAAATACAGGGAAGGGGGCGACAATCGACTCTTTCAAAAATGTTATTGTAAAAAATAATGTAACTTGACAATGTAAAACATCTTTTCTGTAGCATTTTCACAATTAGTAAATGAAATAATTATTTTTTTAATAGGTTGTAAAGTTTAGTTAATGTAAAAAAGGAAAACCTTAGACGACAGATATTAATGTGCTTATTGGAAGGGAAAGGAAGCAAATACGATGCCAAAAGTCAGAGCACTCACCATTAACAACAGAGCAGTTCTCATCCTTGGGATCCTGAAGTCTAGACAGTGCCGGTACAGCCTGGATTCTCACATCTGGAAATGTATCCTTCAGTCTAATCAGCATGGCTTCATTAATTTATCAAACAATTCATCATCGATCTGGGCATTTTCTGGCATATTTTCCAAAAGTTTATTTACAAGCTGGCACACTCAAAATCTAACTTCATGGCTGCTTGCATTGTGAGACTTAAAGGAAAAAAAGTCAAGTACATTCAATTTTTCTTATTTCTAATATATGTTATACAGCAATGCATGCATGTACACAGTGCACTGCCTGAACACATATCATATGGATATGTTGTTCCATACTGGTCAGACCCTGACTATGATTCTGCAAGAGCTCATTATCAACTTTACTATTGCAAACAATCCTATTGAAAAATTATGTCAGGGAACTAAATTGCTAACTATGGTTTTTCCCCTGAATCTTAGTGGTACTAATTTCAATATGTACCCTTGTTGAGTAGATACAATTTTCAAACCCTTGCACCGTGGCAGGAGTACGCAACAGGTGGCACCACACTACACGTATCTGCAAATCACTGCTCCATCCCACCATGACTTTCGACCGGCTGCACAGGCAAAGTAACCATCATGGAGCCCAGCTAGAAAAAGAGTCAAACAACTACAAAGTTAGTGCTTGAAAGGGTGCAACAACTTTCTAGCTGGTTTCTGTCCAGCTTTAGTCAGACTTCGTAGTGCCCCTAGTATCTCTCATGTCCCTGCAGTAGATGTTTAGTCCACCCAGCCAGGTGCAAGGGGCTGGCTGAGGGGAGAAGCACTTTCCCCCACTGTCCCAGACCCACAGCGCAGGTCTGGGAAAAGCATGGGGAACGCATTGCCCCTTGTTCTGCCCCTAATGGTGCCAGACAAGGAAAGATATACACTTCACCCAGTGAAGCAAGTCAGCTGTGCCGCAACACATTGCAGCTCTGCTCCATTCTGTGACATCTTTTCTAGCCTTAGCAAGCCAAGTCCCTCTCCTCCCAGCTTTGATGGATGAGATCTTGCAGCTGTGGTTCTCAACCCTCTTGGACTTGAGGTGCCCCTCAATACCTGTTGTTGAAATGCAGGGCCACACAGTTAACTAGTTTATCTATTACAGCGCTACCTCTTTGTGGAGGGCCAGGCAGTAGGCAGGCAGGGAGGGATTAGCCGAGCAGGGATGAGTCTGAACCTGCACTTACCTCTCCTTACACCTCAGGCACCCCATGGTGCCACAACTCCTGGGTTAAGAATCACTGTTTAAATCAGGGGTAGGCAACCCCCAGCATGGGTGCCACAGCATGGCACGCAAAGGCATTCTGCTTAGCATGCACACCTTGGGGAAGGGGCTGAGGCTGCGCTGCCACAACAAGGATTGGGCCCTTCGTGGCTTCCCCGCCATCTGTACCTGGCACACCAGCATCTTACAAGTGGAGGTGTTTTTGGCACTCTGCCCAAAAATGTTGTCAACCCCTGGTTTAAAGGCTCAAAGATAACGGGAGAAATTTTACAATCTTTGTATTCTCCTTTGCCTGAGGAAGGTATGTGAGCCTGAAAGCTTGAAAATAAAGATTTTTTTTTTTGCAACTATCTAGATGGTGTAATAAAAGATATTGCCTCTGCCATGCTGACTGCTTTTGGTTTCAGACCAACATGACTACAAACTTTATCTCTCAAAGATAAAGGAGGCATGTACACAAAACCCAGAAACATGAGGCAAGGGATTTGACTTGCTGGTTTTGAAGTCCTGGAGCTGGCAACCTCATACCTGGTATTTAGATTAGGAGGGAGGTGTGGGTAGAAGCTGGAGAGGGTAGCTTGGGCAACTCTTGCTATTAGAAGAGTGAAAATCCTCCTGTGAGACTATGTTAAGATAATGACCATGCATTTACCTGTAACTTAAAGCAATACCACATTAAGCTGTATTGTGTAAAGGGTTGGGATGATTCAACTGTCATTGCAAGGGCATCTTTACTATTAACTGAACTCAAATTGGGTTGCAAAATTAGAAGTTTTGGGATGAATATATACAGCAAGTGTCTGGAAACAATATGGCTTTAGTGACATAACAAGTTTAGGTTTGTACTAATATAAAACAATTTAAGGTTATAAAACCTGAGTGCTAATTTAGCAGGCTAGTTGAAGACATAATCTTAAAGGAAACAGAAAAAAATAAAAAAAATCCTCTCATGTTTTGAAAACCAGAAGTCCTGGCAGAGCCAGATGGATAGAAAAAAAATTAGATTTAAATCCTATTTTCTTGTTAATGCACCTTGCTTCAGGATAGTGAGGCACATATTTGCTACTATCCACAACTAATCTAGTTTATGCCCCCAACTTTAATATAATACAAACCTTTTCTTGGCCTATCATATAATGTAACTCTGCAAACACATAGTTACTGCAACTGAAGGTAAATTATATGTGAGGCTTACAAACAAAGCCATACCAAATTAGAGCTGCGTACTCCATGAGCTCCTCAGCTCCATAGACAAATTAAATAGAATACATTTAATATAACCACAGTTGCAGGCAACAGATTCTTTACCAAAACATCTCTCTGTTACAAACATAATGGGTCTCCAGAGATGAAGAATAGAAGGGACCAACTTGACACTGTTGATGCTCATTGTCCCATTAATTTGAGTTTGAAAGTTCCACCAGAAAACCTCACTTTAACTTTCCAGGTTTACATTTGAATTTTACCAGCGGCCTTCATGGTTTTGTAAGTCTTCCACCCCCAAACAATAAACACTTACTTAATCTTTACACAGGAGCATTTTTAATTTGAGAATAGTAGGCTACAGGAAATCCACTGAAGCACTAAGTTTTAAATAAGGTCACAGCCTAGTCACTGTTAGGTTTGTTTATATTTCCTAAATTGCCAGAGAAGAAATGTTTGATCTCACTTACCCAAGCTGCTCTTCCCCCACTATTTCCCTAATCTTTCACCTGATTTAAAGATTCACCTACTTTCTCCACACTAGCAAAGTAAATAATTTAAAATTAAACAATAGACATTCTGATTCACTCTTTTTAAGGGTTTGAAAACTATATCTACTAAACATGGATGGATATGGAAATTGGTACCACTAAGATTTAGGGGGAAAACTCTAGTTAGCAATTTAGTTCCCAGACATACTTTGCAATTTTGAATTAATCTATGAAAGAGTTTATTGTTGTCCTCTTTCCTTTATTTGCTATATTTGTCTCTTAGCCAGCACCATCATACAGGTGCAATGAAGGAACATCAGAAACCCAAGGAATTAATTTTACGTGTAGTTAGGTAATCCTCTGCTTTTCTATATTTTTTCTAGAATCTAATTTTTTCTCATACTGTTTATCTTGTGTGTGTCTTTTTTCAACAACATCAAAATCTTCTTTTTTCCAAACTAAATTAGCTTCTCTTCTTGTTTTTATAATATTTCGCTCATTTCCTCCACCATCAAAAATGCTACTCTTAATCTTTTCCTGCCCCAGCAAAAATTTCTCTTTCAGACATGTGGTTTCTACCTATACCATACTCTCATTTTCCTATTTTCTCCTCTTCTGTATTGGTCTACAACTTTCTCTATGATTTGTACCCTTCTCTTCTACAACTTTTGTTCTTCCCACATTTTCTATTTAGGTTCACGGTATGGGAGTAAGAAAGGTCTTCTGATCTACCCTCTCTTTCTTTTAAGATCAAGGCAGAAGTGAAGCTCTCTTGCAGGCAGCTGCTATTTTGGTGGTATATTTGGTAGTTTAACTCAGTTAACACAATTTAAGCTAAACTTGTTTTTTTATATATATATCAATTGCCTAGCCAAATGGACAAAACTAGATGTTTTAGTAACATGTTCTTAGAGGCCCACTTTTAAATAGAATCTTAATATGAACAGTTTAGTTGCAGTAGGCCTGATTTTTTCCGCTGCTTAACATCTTGCTTAATCCTTTCCATCTATATAGCATGAATGCGATATGAGTGCAAACCAGTACAAAATCTGAACCACAAACATTCCCACCTTGCAGAGGTATTAACAATGCCACAACATGGAAGGCTGGGGAGATTAGGCCTGGTGGAAAGATACTGCGAATATATTCAGTAGCATGTCAGTCACAAAAATACTGGGAAAAGGCATGTAACTGTGGAGGCCAAGGACATTTGTAGCTTAAGGTAACATCCATGCAGAATTTGGGATTTGTTTGGTTGAGGGTGAGAGGGGCTTTGTTTTGTTCTTAGCATCTAGTTGCCAAGTGGCCTTCAAGTTTCAGGACAAATTCTGCCAACAATAGAAGAAATGATAGTATATATCTAAAATGACTGTGGTGTGGGTCTTCAAATCTTTTTCACCATACCACAGTATG